AGTACAAAAATCAAACGAATATTCATATTTGACCTGATTGTTTATAGGTCATAATGCATGATCAAAACCGAAAGTTTCTGTGATGAATGCCCTTGTACCATGTAAGAATTTATTCACTATGTAAGAATTCGTTCACCATGTAAGAACTTGTTCGTTATGCTTCAGAAGATTGGAGACTGACGAGAATTAGGTTTGAGATGGATTAATGATTGTACATTGAGCGTTGACCCCCCTATACTGAATTTTATTGTCGTGAACAACCATTTGATCAATAAATATGAGAGATGCCCTCTCAAAAAAAAAAAAAAAATGTCAACAGAGCCATAGCTGAGAAACCCTGGGGTAGAGCAAAGAAGGCACGTTCAAAATGAGGTTGGAGGAACACATGGTGACAAGATCTTGGAGGGTCTGCCATGCTCAGGAGATAGACTTGATCATCTATGTCTATATATTCCTCCAAATGTAATCGATGGACCAGCCTCCAGCTCCTCCACTGTGCTACGCACACGCCTACACTGTCTGGGGTAGGACCCTAAGACCTACATGTTTACAAGCTCCTGGGTGATTCTCTAGCATATTCAAATTCAGAATGGCTTTCAGCAGTGTGAAGCCAGCTAAGATTAAAGACCTGATTGGAGAGGGGAGAGCTAGGAAGAGAAGCCTGTTAGGAAAGACTGGAACCCCTAACAGCCCAGGAGGGCCTGGCCTAAGGCTGAAGGAACTAAAAGGAGACACTCTAACTGAAGAGACATTCATATCCTATCATTCTCCCACCAAACCACTGGACTCCAATTGTGCTAGTTCCCCTGTTGTTGCTTGAATACTCCCAAACTTCTGAGGGCCTTCACACCTGCTGCTCCCAGTGCCTGGAATGTTAGTCCTCCACTATCCACAAAGCTCCTACTCCCTTTTTTGTCAGATCCCTGTTCAAAACCACCTTATCAAGAACGTTTCCCTTAAACATCCATTGTAGTGAGTCAGCATTTGTTACTTTGTTTTACTTGCTTAGAGCACTTGACACCACCTAAACATGGTTTGTTTTGTCAGCTTTCCACCAATGGAAACATAAGGACCATGAGATCTTGCCAGGGAATGTGTCTACTGTGTTTACTGCTGCATCCCTAGTGCCTACAATTGTGCCTCACACATTCCAAGTGCCTGATAAACATTTATTGAACGAATTAATGAAACAATGAATGGATGTTAGGGACAAGAACAAATAGGATTTAGGTGGAAATGAAATGCAATGATTGAGCAGCATGGACTCCAGGATTACAGAGGTTCCAATTTCAACACCACCATGTGCTAGTTTTGTGATCTTGGGCAAACAACAGCCTTCTCATTAATAAAAAGAAAAATGATAATGATAAAATCTATCTCCTAGGCTTGGATGGGAACACTTTGCACTGGGCATGACATGCAGAGCTGAACAAATGTTAAACTCTTGGTGGCACTGGCTTGGTGACCAGCTTAAGGAGAGTGGCAGTTTTAGACAACCCTAAGGTTTCTTGTGCAGGGACTGGAAATGGGTATGAAGTCATTTCTCGGGCAAGGGAAGGGTAGGAGTAGTGATTCCACCACAGAGGTGGCCTAGGACAAGGGTACAGTGTATGGAGTCCAGGGATAAACTGCATGTAAATACCCATTCCTTCACTCACAAGCTATGTGGCCTTAGACAAATTGCTTGCACCTCTCTGTGCTTCAGTGTTCTGATTTTTAAAATGGGGATAACAGTACCCATCTCCTAGGATAATTGTGGACCTCAAGTAAATTCGTTTACAGAAACCACTCAGAACAATGCCTGCCACAGAGCTAGTGCTATGTAAATGTAACCTTCATAACGACAACATGGTGGTTTAAGATCATAATTTCTGGTACCAGAGGGCCTAAACTGGATTCCTGGCTATTAGGTGGGTGACCTTGGGAAAATAACTGCAATATCTCTGTTCCTCCATCCTCTTCCAAAATTAAAATGACCTTCACATTCAGTGCGAAAAACCAATTTCCCAAGGTTCTCTGAGATCCACCCTCCGCTTCCAACTCCTCTTTCCTGGCCCCCAATCCCTGAGATCGGCTGAGAAATAATCAGGCGAAAAGCGCCAGGCAGAAGAAATGCACCCACCGACCCTACCATTCCTGGCGAATTCCAGACCCCAATCCAAATACCCAGTCTACTCAAGAGACGAGGGTTGCTTTCGCGCTCCCTCATCCGCCCCCTCACGCAAACCGGAAAACCCGCCAGCGGAGACCCAGAGCGCCCCCGGGGAGGGGCCGGGAGGGGCCGGGAGGGGGCGGGGCCCGGCTGCGGGGCCGCGGCCGAGCGAGCCGGGGAGATGTCGGGGGCTGCGCCCGCGCCCCCTCACCAGTAGCAGCTGTTGTAGACGCAGGCGTCTCGAGGGGGGCTGGCCGGCTGGTAATGGTCGGCTGCGGCAGCGGAGATATCCCCCTCCATGGCGGGCTGGCTTGGGCCAGAGCTCCGGCCTGAGGAACGCAGGCTGGACCAGCCCAGCTGGCGGGCTTCAGGGGAGGAGCCGGCGTGCGGAGCTCTGCGCCGGTTCTCGGCGCGGAGTGGGCGGAGCCTGCGGCCAATGGTGCTCTTCCCGAGTCGCAGACGGGGAAGGCGGAGCCTGGGCGGGGCGAGCAGCGCAGGCTCCCTGCGCGCGAGACCCGAAAGGGCGATACAATTCCAGGTGGGAGGAGCCAGGGGCGGAGTGGGCGGACTGGGTTGGGGTAAGCGGTGTTACCTCCCCGCTCGTGGGTCCCTCTGAAGAGTACCGCGTGGATCCTGGGTAGGCGAAGCCCGGCCTGGTGGATGGAGCCAGAGGCGGGGCGGAGGTGGTGGAGCGAGGCTCTTGCTCCTGTGGGGCGCGGCGGGGTCGGGCGTACCGGGGCGGCGGTAAGGGTGGGGATCCAGTGGGCCTGGGGAGAAAAGAGGTCGCCGGCAGGCGGGCTGCAGGGCAGCCAGGAGAGGGCTTGGACCCGGAAACCCTTGGATTCGAGCGTCGCTCCGAGAGTCTCCAGGCGTGTGAGACCCTCCTCTGCATGCGGGGCCGGCCTGGACAGCTGTGTAGGAACCAGACGAGAAGCGAAAGACTCCACTATGCGAGTGAAATAAAAGAAGCTTGTGTGGAAAATGGAACTTTAGCACCTTGAGCCCGGAGTTCGAGGGAGCACGAGGAGAAAAGGAGGGGGGGGGGAGGTTAATGCCGAAAACGTCCACATCCAGGGCGGTTTAGAGAGAGATCTCCCCCGAATCTCAATATTGTAGCATTTTTAAAATTATAGAATTGTATATTGATTCTTTGATTCAGTAAGTTTAAAAAATGTTTTCCCAAGAGTCCTCATGGTCCATTTTGTTAATCATGTATTTATTTGCTGGCAATCTGGAAGGAAAGACATCAAATTGTTAAAACAGTGCTTCTCTCTGGTAAATTGATGGTATGGAGGACTTCCAATTTATACTTTATAGCTTTCTGATTTGTCTGTAATTGCAACGGACATATATAGCTGATCAGGATACTTCCTATTGTAAAGACTGAAATTCTTAGGTTGGTTTATAGGCCATTTACAGTCAGATTTTCCTAATCTCAGATTTTCTAAAGCCCACAAATCCTAAAGGATTTAAGCAAAGTCCTTGCATCAGTTTCATTTTTTTGCCTCTCAGCTCTGAATGCACATTTCAAATAAAGGCTCTATGATAAAAATGGAATTCCTTTAAGCATCGCTCCTTTAAAATGACCATCATGTTAAGCCTTTTCAGCAAAGCATGCCAAAAGAAGAACCCTGCAGTTTCTGGGCTAGGGCAAGAGTTCGGAGTGTGGTCATGAGAACATCCAGGGGGGTCTGCCCCAGACACCGTCCCTCTGCGACCTTGCAGCTTTAGCTTGGCAGTTGGCAGTAACCTTTTTGCAGCCCTCTTGACACAGAACCAGTCCTTCGAGGCTGCAGGCAGCCACCTGCCCATACTCTTTCAGTAAGTCCTTTATGCCTGCACACATTAATTTGTGGCAGGCAGGGCCACACTCTGAGAAGTCAGTCCTTCCCCTAACTTCTTCCCCAAACCCCTCCATTCCCTCTGGCATTCTGAAGGCCTTCTTGCTGACTCCCTGGCTCCCACAGCATCGCGACACCACTTGTTAGTGTCACTTCCCTCTGCCCCATTCTCTGCATTGCTGGAGGGAAGTTGAATGTCAAGAATTAACTATGATAAAAGTGTAACTGTAAGATATAAGGAAATTCCATATGGTATCTAGGGCTAAGGAAGAGTACTTCAGACAAACTAGAAAAGGTATCTTGTTGGAGAGGGCATGGGTTGGCTACCTGACAGCAGAGAAGTTCTCTGGTTTACCCAGGTGGGAGGTGGTCTGCAGTTGCTGGGCAAACAATATTGAAGAGAGGTGGTAGAAGAGAGCCAACAGTTTCTTCCATAGTTTGCTTTCTTTATGCCTTAAATTTCCTAAGTTGGAATTACTTTTTAAGTTGAAAAAAAATTAAAACAATTCACATGATTTCATGGCAGAGACTATAAAAAGGGATGTTTTAGGAGTAACGAGGTTCTTCTGACCTACAAATTCCTAAGATCTGGATGAAGAAAAAATAAGAGATGCATTCAAAGAAGCCAGTACACAATGAAATTAAGATGTTAAAGGGCAGGGGTTTGAAAGAGGGATACATAACAAAGGAAAATATAAAAAAGGGCCACAGTCAACCATTGTGGAAAGCAGTATGGAGGTTCCTCAAAAAACTAAAAATAGAAATACCATTTGACCCAGGAATTCAACTCCTAGAAATTTACCCTAAGAATGCAGCAGCCCAGTTTGAAAAAGACATATGCACCCCTATGTTTATTGCAGCACTATTTACATTAGCCAAAAAATGGAAGCAACCTAAGTGTCCATCACTAGATGAGTGGATAAAGAAGATGTGGTACATATACACAATGGAATATTATTCAGCCATAAGAAGAAATCAAATCCTACCATTTGCAACAACATAAATTGAGCTAGAGGGTATTATGCTCAGTGAAATAAGCCAGGCAGAAAAAGACAAGTATCAAATGATTTCACTCATCTGTGGAGTATAAGAACAAAGAAAAAAACTGAAGGAACAAAATAGCGGGAGAATCACAGAACCCAAGAATGGACTAACAGTTACCAAAGGGAAAGGGACTGGGGAGGATGGGTGGGAAGGGAGGAATAAGGGGAAAAAGGGGCATTACTATTAGCAGACATAACGTAGGGGGGGACACGGGGAGGGTTGTAAAACACAGAAGACAAGTAGTGATTCTACAGCATCTTACTACGCTGATGGACAGTGACTGTAATGGGGTATGTGGGGGGTACTTGGTGACAGGGGGAGTCTAGTACACATAATGTTCCTCATGTAATTGTAGATTAATGATACCAAAAAAAAATAAGCCACGTATGTGAAAGGAGAGATTCAGGAAGATGGCAGCACATAATACACTGAAGTTTAATTTTAAAAGGGGGTTTTATGTTTTACTGGGGGAGTATTTTTAATGCTCAATATTAAAAGCTAAAAGAAGAAATGATCCCAATGCTTGGGACCATATGATATATGATCAGACAACTGAAAGAAAACAAATACTCAACATCTATTTTGCTTGTATTTTCTCTATCAAAGAAAATGATGCTCAAGCTGTAAAGAATAAGAGCAGTAAGAGGAAATCAAAGCTGATAGGTGCAGTATAGAAAGCATCAAGTTGCCTTAAATGGTTAAAAATCTTCAGACCCAGATGAGTTAAATCCCAGCACACTGAAAGTGCTTTAGATATGACCCAAAGCCTTTCTTATGGATCTTTAAGAAAATATGTTGGAGGAAATGACGTAAGACTACATTTGAGTATTTGCTGTCTTGAGGTTCATAAAAGGAAAAAAGTATGTATTCCAGACACTGTACCCTGGTGAACTTGTTGCCTATTCCCAGGATGATATGTGACCATAAAGAAAAGGTGATTATTTGGGGGCCTCTAGTGGTTTACCAAGCCCATTTCATGCCAAATGGACCTTATTTCATGTTGTTGGAAGAATTAATTGATCATTAGAGTAGGATTCTAGCACAAACCATATAATTTGATTCCAACAAAACAGCTGGCCTGGTTATATTGGTCATGACTCATTAAGTTAAAAGTCAAGGCGGAAATGCTGTCTTTCAGTTCCTTTAACAGGAAGGATACCGAAGTGGCTCTCGAAGGATAAGTTGCAGAAACCAGGGTCTCAAGGGACTACAAGCAGAATCACTTCCCCAGACCTTTCTCTCCACCTCTCAGACGGCTTCTCAGGGCTTGGCTTCATTCTGAGGTGATTTGACTGACTTCTTGCTGTGGGGAGGATGGCCACGAGCAGCCCCATATACATATTTTTCAGGCTTAGCAACCCCCATGGAAAGAGAAAATTCCTTTTTCTTCATAGCAATCACACAGAGCAACTGTACCTTTATTTTTTACATTTCTGTATTGCTTGACACTTCTACATGCATTACTTTGTAATAAAATTTTTTTTATATGTCTAAAATACCAAATTTATCAACAGTAATATAAAGAGCTGCATGGACAGACTATTGCTTACTCGATTTTTCTCCTACTCTTGTACATTTAGTTAGTTTTCAGATCCTGCTACTATAAAGCTGAGATTAACATCTTCGTACCTAAGTCCTGGCCCATGCTTCTGATTATTACATTTCAGATGGAGTCCTTAAAGTGGAATTCCTGGGCCAAAGGTTATAAATATTTTCCAGGTCCCTTGATATATGTTGCTATATTGCTTTAAAGAAATGGGCCTATACCTCAATATCACATTGGGTATTATTATTAAACAAAAAAAAAAGGAAAATAACATGGCATTCCCATTGTTATTTTAATGTGCATTTATTTGATTACTACTTTCCTATGTTAGTGGGATAATTTCAATATAAAGCAGTAAGTGCTAAGACAGCAATGTACCATGGGAACTCAGGGTGGGGGAATCTCAACATTGGGGGTAGGAAGTTGGGCTGGGGTAGAATGCAATGCTACTCATTTTACTTAGAATGGGGTGGCAAGGAGGCAAAAATTCCAGTGCCCTTTGCATGTGCCAGCCCATGCCTGTGGTATTAGACTCAGGGCTGTAAACCACACCTTACATATGAAAATTGAGAAATTGAAGTATATTCAGGAGAGCCTGATGAAGAGGTAAAATCTGGAAACCACATCATAAAATTATGACGTATCTTCCAGCTCACTTCCTGTTCCCACCTAACCCCTCTCTTAACCCTCCATCCCCTTGACCTCAAAAGTGTTTCTGTCCCACATGTCTCCCCAACCTTTGTTTTATCAGTGTCTGTCCTTGGAAACCGCTGGTAAAACTCCCCCTTCTAATCTGAAGCCTCTATATCAGTGAGAGCTTTTGGTTGCGAACAACAGAAACCATCTGTGGCTAACTTAAACAGGAAATCAAATTCAGAAGGATGTGGGGAGGGAAGAGGGGGGTGGAGGAGAGGAAGCACAGCCAGTTCACACTGATACAAGGCTCCAAGAATCCAAGAATCAGCTGACTAGG